CTGAGTAGCTGTGATTACAAGCATGTGTCACCACATCCAGCAATTTTTTTTTGTATTTTTAGTAGAGACAAGGCTTCATCATGTTGGCTAGGCTGGTGTCGAATTCTTGAGCTCAGGCAATCCACCTGCCTCAGCTTCCCAAAGTGCTAGGATCACAGGTGTGAGTCACCATGCCCGGCCTATTTGCCTTCTATCTGAAGAATTTCTTCAACATTTCTCGGAAAGCAGGTCTACTGGCAACAAATTCCCTCCATTTTTCTCTGAGAGTCTTTACTTCCTTTCCACTTTTGAAGGATAATTTCTCAGGTTATAGAATTCTAGGCTGTTTCTTTTTATTTCAATGCTTTTAAAATACTTTCCTCTCTCCTGGCTTCCATGGTTTCTGAAGAGAGGTGTGATGTAATTCTTATCATTGCTCTTCTCTATGCAATGTCTCTTTTTTCCTCTGGCTTCATTCAAGATTTTGTCTTTGATTTCTGGAGCCTTACATATGATACGCCTCTGTAGATGTTTTTGGCATTTGTGCCTGCTTGGCATGTTCTGGACTGTTGCGGTTTTAAAATTTAAATTAATTTAAATAAAACAAAAAAATTCAGTTCTCCACTCACACTACAGCCAGTGCTTGACTTATGACCACGATTGGTTCTGACACACTGGTCGTAGCACGATTTGGTCGTAAGTTGAATAGGCTATATGTACAGTACTGTGAAATGATGTTATAAAAATCTTTGTCATATTTTATCATAATTTTCTTTCATTATTGTTATATATCATAATTTTCTTTGTTCATTTTATGCCATTTGTATCATCTCTACACCATTTTGTTTCTTATTTTTACATTCGTCAGGTTTAAGTAAAACACTGCATTACCAGTACAACTGGTTTAATATTTGCAAAACATACAAAATTACAAAATACAGGTGCATACAAAAACACAAAATACAGGTGTAAAAAATACCATAGGAAACATTTTCCCAATTGTAAAACATATCAAAATATATAAACATGTACGAAACATTTTATTGGCCGCTGGTGCTTGGCTGCGGGTCGTTGATGTCGTCATCTGAGGCAGCAGTTGGGGTTACCGGAGTTGGTTTTTTCATAAACATGGTGAGATTTGTCTGAATTGTATGTTTCTTTTTTTCTTCATAAATTTCACGATACAGACGAAACACATCGTGTGCCATCCGTTCAATCTTTGCAAATCGTTCAATGTTTGGGTCTATTGCTTCGAAATGTATAAGAAGTTTATTGGGAGGGGTTTGATGAAAAATATCCAAGACACAAAACACAAATTGCTGTACCGAGTCTGGGATAACAGTTGAAATGGTGCACACGGAGATGGTAGTGCTGCCAGAAGCTGGTCCGCACTGTCGTAGGCCCAGCTGGGCAACGTTTGCGCTGCCAGATGCGGAGCAGTTGTGGCTAGCGATTGTGGTCGTAAAGTCGAATGGTCGTAAGTTGCATAGGTCGTAAGTTGATCAATGCCTGTAGTTACATTTTAGGCGCTCAACAGCCACATGTGGCTAGTATCTACCACACTGGACAGCCAGGTCCAGACAGTTGAGGAAAGGAGATCAATCTAGGCCTCGTGACAGTGAGTGGCTTGCAGAGGAAAGCATCTCCTGGACTCTGCGGGCACCTGAGGTACCTGCTGCTCCTGTTCACCTCCCTGCCTCTGCTCACACAACCCAGTCCTGCTTTCTGGAGTGTCCCTCCTCTCTGTCCTCAGATTATCTTTATTTTACCCTTTTTTCTCCACCTTAACTTAGGTCCCATCTACTTACAACACCTTTAGAGGGAAAGGAGAATGTGCTTTACTTTATTGTCTTTAAGAAATATGATCTGAGTCTGTCATCACCATCCAAAGATCCTTCATATCACCAGGCCCAGTGCCGAGCCTCACACTTTTGTAGACTTAATATCTCATCTGATAACACAAAAAATATTAATGAAGGCAGAGAGCAGTGGCTCACGCATGTAATGCCAACACTTTGGGAGGCTGAGGCAGGCGGATCACCTGAGCTCAGGAGTTCGACCAGCCTGGCCAACATGGTGAAGCCCTGTCTCCACTAAAAATACAAAAATTAGCGGGGTGTGATCACAGGTGGCTGTAATCCAAGTTACTCAAGAGGCTGAGACAGGAGAATTGCTTGAATCTGGGGCATGGAGGTTGCAGTGAGCCGAGATCATGCCGTTGCACTCCAGCCTGGGTGATGTGACTGAAATTTCAGTTCGAAAATGAAAGTTCTTCTGTCACCATTTTATTCTGCCAAGTAAGAAAATGAAAAGCAAAGACAACTGTCTATTGCTAGCATCTCATAAACAGAATGACATTCTAACAGTGTCCTCTCTTTTCTCCCAAAAGGAGGAAACTAAATTTAGCTATGTATTTTTTTTTTCATGGAAGACATCTCTACTAAAAATACAAAAATACAAAAAGTATCCAGGTGCGGTGGTGCATGCCTGTAATCCCAGCTACTCAGAAAGCCAAGGCATGAGAATCTCTGGAACCTGGGAGGCAGAGGCTGTGGTGAGCCAAGATCACGCCACTGCACTCCAGCCTGGACAAGAGTCAGACTCTGCCTCTAACATAAAATATAATAAAGAAAAACAACACACATGCCTAGGACTTTAAACATTCTCCTTATTTTTCAAGGCTGGTGTGTCTGGGAGTGCCCTGGTTGAGGTTAGTGTAGGACTTAGGATGAGACTTTAAAGGGACAGAAGTGAAGTGGGACAGGAATATTAAGACCAAAAAGCCTCCTGGTCAACCTTCTGTCCAGAGCATATTCTGCTCTTTTTCCGATGCATTCCACAGGCCTTGCTTTTGTTCAAAATGAGGGCCAGTCTGGGAAAGGACTGGGAATAGTCAAATCTGCCACAAAGAACAACATGGATGAAGCTTGACTCAAGAAGATGAATACTGAGATACAGCACACAGCCTTCAAGTCTAAGGAATTGGAAGAACCTGGAGGGCCCTAAGAAACTGCTGGATATTACATGGCCATTCCTTAGGTGCCTTGTGGGAAGCACAAGTGATGCTTGGAGTATTAACAAGTCATCAGGCCACTAAGAAACCACTTTCAACTAGGTACATATCCAACACAGGCCCTTGGGGTCAAGAATGTCAAAACTTGTCTGAAAAATTTATTTCTATTTCTCTGAGTTTCATGATTTCACTTTTGTAAACACACCACTTTAAAAAATACTGCATAATCAGCTTTATTGTTGACTGAGAAAACTATGAGAACAGACGGCTTAAATTATCTGTGCACGCGGAGGGAAAGATAGGGATATTACCTTGCTGGAGGTACTCATTTTTATATTTTGCCCTGGGCCGTCATTCCCTAAGAAATCTTCCTTAAAATAGTGGCTGCAAAATGGAGCCCCGTGTGCTGGATTCAGATTATTCTGTTTGACCTGTAGAGTTAAAACAAAAACAAAAACAAAAACTGTACTTCCAGCATCTCTTATTAAAATTATATGTGGCACTGGGCTGACAGTGACACAAGACAGCAACTGGCTCTGATAGCTGTTTCCTTTAAAAGCCTTAATTGTTCTTCAATTTGCAAACCCTCGCTATTCTCGGAATACCTGCTTTTGTTCTTGTATCCACGGGCACTGGAGTGCGTGCCAGCTGATCTGGAAGAAGCGCAAGCAAGTCATCTACATGGTGACAAGGGGCGGCCTGAGAGGGGAACGTTCAATCCTACACCTGCCAGAAATGACCTTGGGATAATCACAACCTTCGGTCCTCAGTTTCCTTACCTGTGAAATGGGGCTGACACCGCACAGCTGTGGGAAGCGCTGGCCCAAACGCGGGGCTTGGGGGCACGACCACCATCCCCGCCCACGGGCCCCCGCGCCCGGCCTCGCTCTTCACCCCTCCCTCCACGGGCCCCCGCGCTTCCCGGAGGTCGGCCCCGGGCGCCGAGAGGCGTGGCCGGTCGGAGCGGACCCTCGCGGCGGCCATGGCCTCGGTGGTGGAATACAAGGGCCTCAGGGCTGGCTACCACTGCGGCTACTGCGACTCCAAGGAGGGCAAAGCGTCCTGCGGTGAGTGTCCCCGACGCCAGGGCTGGCACAGCCGCCTCGCGCCCAACCCCTGCCGCGCCCGCCGCGCCTGGGGCAGGCCCTCAGCGGTGGAAAGAGCAGGCTTGCACCCCGACACCCCCGCTTCCCTTCCCCTCTCGACTCTCCCCATCCTGCCCGGTCTCTCCGCCTCACCCTTACTGACGACGGCGGCCCCTTACGGAGAAAGAACGGAAATAGTGGAAAGCTGCCCTCGGTCAAGATGGCGCGGGCGGCGTCAGCCCCAAGAGGCGCCGGGCCGACCGGGCCTGCGGGCGCCCGAGTGGCTTCGTGGGAGCCTCGGGGGGCTCCCGGGCGGCGCGCTGCATTGTGGGGTGGCGGCGGCAGTGGCGGCGACGCTGGGCCGGAAGCCTGAGCGTTCGCCGGGCCGAGGCCATGGCTTTCTGGGCCGGGGGTTCGCCCAGCATCGTGGACTATTTCCCCAGCGAGGACTTCTACCGCTGTGGTTACTGCAAGAACGAGTTGGGCAGCCGCTCCAATGGTGAGCTAGCCGGGACGGCGGGCGTGGGAAGCCGGGTGCCTGGTCTCGGGATCCCGCGGTCCTCCAGCTGGGACGCGAGGCGGCCGGAGTCCCTGGGCGGCCCCAGTACCACGGCCTAGACGGAGGGGTCACCCTCGGGAGGGCCGCGGCGCCGGCTCAGCGGGGCAACTTCGCGGTGCTTGTTCTGCAGGAAAATCCCCACCAGTGCCCGGACCCGCGAGATCGTGATGGTCTCCCCAGAGTCGGGAGACGAACGCCTGTGTGGGGTAGATGGGTGAGGTGAAGGACGGGCACACAGTGCCGGAGAACGCACCTGAGCCGTAATGGCCAGGGCTGACCGGTGGGTGCTGTGGTGGGAGCATCCCGGCAGCGAGGGCGAGACGCGGTGCGGAAAGGAGCTGTGGATGTGCATACAGGTGCCCGTCATGTATGACTCAGATGTCCCTGGACAAATATACATACAGGATGAACCCCTTGCATTTCTGGGTTTAAGAAAAGTTTTTATTTTTTTAAAAAAGACAAACTGGTGACCGAGGTCGCTACCGGCTAGGGGTTCTGTTTGGCCTGATCTGTTTGAAATTTTTACCATTTGCTTATATGCTATGTATTTCCTCCACCCACCCCGATGACAGCAAAGCCAGCCCACAAGTTTGTTTTGTTTTTGCCTAGTGATTCAGATTTCTTTGGGGGAGATTTGTTGTTGATAAACAAAACATCGTGCTTATTTCCTGCCTTGCCAAGCATTGGCCAATATAGACTGTAGAATCTATTACCCTTAATGGAACAGCCTGGCATTGTAGAAGACGAAATTTGCATGAAAACACACAGGCATTTTCCATGAAAAGGTGTGAGTGGGGGATGATTTGATCGATAACTGTGTGTGCATTTACTCCTTCATTAAAAGTGTTTATTAAGTGCTTCTTGTGGGCAGCGGTCTTGAGTAGACAGTTATGCTATCATTAGAGGTGAGGATTATGAAGACTAAGTGGAAAAATGCTTCCAGTGTGGAGTTAAACGGAGAAAATCAACAGAATGCAAATAGCTTCTGCGAGGTGATTACAGTTCTGGGAGGAAGAAGGCCCAGAAGCACACCAAATACTGACAGTGGTAATATGGCCTTAGAGTAATATGAGTTCCTTCCTTCTCTTTTTCAGAATTTTTGTATTTTGGCTGTAATAATTATAAAATCAGTAAGTTACATTAAACGTGCCTAAAGTTAATATCTTAATAGGTCATTGCTTATTTTTTTCCAGTAATTGTGGCAAGAGAAAACTGGCTAACATAAATGTCTTGTATTTCACATTTTGTGGAGGAAATATGCCTGCAACCTTTCCATCAAGAGAAAATAACCATCAATTTCTAGTATCTCAATTTTGATTTTAATACTCTTTATTATGGGGCATCTACTTATTGGGTAGGTGAGTTTTGTTTTTCTTATTTACAGATGATGAAATTGAGTCACAGTCATTGGGTGACTCCTTAGTATCAGTGGGTGCCTGCCAGGTATCCAGATATTTCTATTGGACTCCAGTGCCGTGCCTTTCCCACTACCCACTTAATCCTGCTCTGTCAGTCCTGTCTCTATCGTTACATATCTCTGATGCGATTTACTGTTTACAAAAGAGAAAAATCCATGTCTTTTAACAGGCAGGGCCTTGCTCCTTAGCTCAGGCTGGCGTGCAGTGGGGCATTTATAGCTTACTGCAGCCTCAAACTCCTGGCCTCAAGCCTCTTCCCACCTCAGCCTCCCAAGTAGCTGAGACCATAGGCACATGCCACAGAACCTGACTAATTACTATTATTTTTTATTTCTTGTAGAAACAGAGACTTGCTATGTTGCCCAGGCTTGTGTTGAACTCCTGACTTCAAGTGATCTTCCATGTTGGCCTTCCAAAGTGTTGGGATTATAGGCTTGAGCCACCACCGCACCAAGCCTTAACTTTAGTTCTGATATGCCTTTAAATGTTTCCTCATAGTCTTCTTTTTTTTTCCATAGTTGTGTAATTATTCCATCATGTCGATATCATCATAGCCCCTGTAATCATCTTCCTGTTCCTTGGCATTTGAATTACTTTTAATTCTTACACTTAGAAGAAATATTGTTACATACTTTTCTCCAATTTTTAATGCTGAAGACTGCACTGTAAATATATACCTGTATATAAATCAGGAGAACTAACAAGCACAGAACATTTTGCTAAGTTTTCTGAAGAGACCAGCATGTTAAATCATTGGGGATATTACTAAAGTTTGAAGGTCTGATGCATTCTGATTGCAGTGAGGACCTAAATTTATAATGTCATAGAAACTGCTGACTAATCTTCAAATAAATATAATTACTTTGATGTGTTTTTTCGAATTAAAATAAATATACTGTCATTTTTTATGTGTGCTGTATGTGTGTCAGACTAACAGGTGTGAAGTATGTACAAACTTTTCCTTTCTCCAATGTGAGAGTTTTGGGATTTTAACCGAAATACTCCTGTTTTTAAAAATCACACTTTGAATTTAAAAAAGAAAAAAGGTCACCCTGCCCTCATTTACGCACTACTTATTTTTTCAGGCATGTGGGCACATTCCATGACAGTACAGGATTATCAGGATCTCATAGACCGAGGATGGCGAAGGTAAAGCTTCCTGATACAGAGTCTTCCTGCTATTACTCAGGTTCTTGAAAAATACAGCATGCCTTTAAAACACTTTCATGTTGTTGGAAAGAGGTTTAAGAAAATTTTTATTATATTCTTTTGTGTAGTGATTTTTTTTCTCTCTCTCTTAAAAAACTTCATTAGGAAAATGTCAAATATCCATAAAAGCAAAGAGTACATTAGAATGAACCTCAGGTACCTGTCACTAAGTTTCAACAGTTGTTAACGTTCTGCCAATCATGTTTGATTCTCCTGTTCCTCCTTTTTTTTTTTTTTTTTTAAAGATGGGGTTTCACCATGTTGGCCAGGCTGGTCTCAAACTCCTGACCTCAAGTGATCCGCCCACCTTAGCCTCCTGAAGTGCTGGGATTACAGGCATGAGCCATTATGCCTGCCACCTGCTCCTCCTTTCAATATTTAACAGCAAATTACATCAGTATTTATTATTACATTTATCCTATGAATAGATCAGCAGTAAGTATGTATCTCTAAGAGAGGGGTCTTTTTTTCTTTTTAACTTACCCATACTGCTGTTGTCACACCTTAGAAAATTAATAAAAATTATTTGATGTTACCTGTTACCTACTTTTTATTAGATTTTCCAGATTGTCTCAAAAATGTCTTCTTTAACAGTTGGTTTATTTGAATAAGAATTTCATTAAGGTCCACACATGGCCTGTTTCGAGTAGTTATTTTTATGTAGATGATTTTTAAGTAACTCTTAAAGTTCCTTGTGTAAATATAAGTAATAATAAATACTGTATGCTAATACTCACCAAAAGACGTGGGATTGGGAGCACCAGCTGAAACATCACAACTTTCCTTAAACTTAATGAGATTCAGAAGGTAGACATAGGTCAGATTTTAAAGGACTTTGTATGCCATGATATGGAATTTTTTTTTTTTTTTTTTTTAGAGATACAGTCTCGCTCTGTTGCCCAGGGTAGAGTATAGTGGCATTATCATAGCTCACTGTAACCCCAAATTGCCACACTCAGGTGATCCTCTTGCCTTAGCCTCTCCAGTGGCTAGGACTACAGGTGTGCATCACAACATCTGGCTAATTTTTAAATTTTTTTAAAGATCTTGCTGTGTTGTCCATGCTGGTCTCGGGCTCCTGATTGCAGGTGTTCCTCCAGCTTAGCTTCTCAAAGTGTTGGGATTATAGGTGTGAACCACCATGCCTGGCCAGAACTTTTAAAAGGTAGAAGGCAGTCATGGAAGGATTTTATGGTAAGAGAGAAATGTGACGGAATTTGGTTTAGAAAACATTGTTCAGTTGGCTGAGAGGTATTTGAGGGGATGGTCATAGAGGCAGGAAGATGAGTTCAGAGGTTATTTCATTATCAAGGTGTGTGATGACGAGGACTGGCATGTTAGTTGGAATGGCAATAGGAGGGGACAATTTAAGACAGGGTTTAAAATAGGAAAGCTTGCTAACAGGATATAGAGGTGAATTCCAGGGAAGAGTCTAAAATGACTCCCAGGTTTCTGACTTGAGAACAGAATGAGGGTTCAGTTACTACCATAGATCTGGAATGCGTGGAAAGAACCTGGTTAGTTTTGGGCTACTTTGTACTGGCGCATGTGGAATACCCAAATGTGGTTGTAACAGACAGCACATGCATGAGCCCCACAGGATCGTGGGCATTTCTCTCATTGCCCTTGTGGTATTAAGGATGGGTGGCAGATGCTGGTGAGAGGTCAACTGTGATGACTGGCCTTGGGGTACACAAGTAGAGCTTTAGGAAATAAAAGGCTGGGTTCTAAACTTTGGTACACCTACTTTGAAGATTATTTGGCTTATGAAGAGTAATTAAACCTACATGCATTTCTATAATATTGGTTAGATTTTTTACCCTTAATTTTATGCTTCTGTGCTAGTCTATTTTGGTATGTGTGAAAAATATATAAGACATTAACAAACTATTTTTATAATTTTAGAAGTGGAAAATATGTGTACAAACCTGTCATGAATCAAACATGTTGTCCTCAGTACACAATAAGGTAAGAATTTTAATTAGTAGAGGATCTACAATATGAAGATTGTGTATAATTTTTTAGTCATTTCTTGTGCTTTTTAAGTTTTTATTTCTACTCTAGGTAGATGTCCTTTAAAAGGAAAAGCAAATGAGTTATGTCTTTTCTACATACTGATGCTATATTTATGTGTTCATCAGTAGCTTTTAGTAATACTGTTTGATTGGCTCAGATATAAATATGATGTGAACAAATACCCTCTTAATTTAGCAATCTTGTCAATGAATGCCATGAAATATTGGGAAAATGTTGGTAATACATTACTTTTGGATGCTAAATTTTATAGGACTTAGCTTAAGATTTTCTACATTCTGGTATATTGCTTGACACAGTGCTTGTAGTTCAATACTGCAAGCTCCTATAAATTACTTAGTAGGGGCATGTTCTCCTAAGTGGGAGCTAAACCTTGGGTACTCAAGGACATAAAGATGGCAAAAGTAGAATCTGGGAACTATTAGAGGAGGAGGGAGGGCATGAACTAAGGGTTGAAAAACCAACTTGGTTATGATGATCAGTACCTGGGTGGAAGGCTCCTTCATATTGCAAACCTCAGTGTCATGCAGTATATCCAGGTAACCAGCCTGTACTGGTAACCCCTGAATCTAAAGTAAAATTGAAAAAAAAATTAATTGGAAGGAAGAGCCCTTACATTTAACCTGCCACCTACATTCAGAGTCCAGTTTTCTTTTTTTGTTTTGAGATGGAGTCTCGCACTGTCATCTGAGCTGGAGTGCAATGTCTCAGTCTCAGCTCACTGCAACCTCTGCCTCCCGGGTTCAAGCAATTCTCCTGCCTTAGCCTCCCGACTAGCTGGGATTACAGGGGTGCACCACCACGCCCAGCTAATTTTTTTGTATTTTTAGTAGAGACGGGGTTTTGCCATGTTGACCAAGCTGGTCTCGAACTCCTGGACCTCAGGTGATCTGCCCGCCTTGGCCTCCCAAAGTGCTGGGATTACAGGTGTGAGCCACCAGGCCTGCCTGGGAGCCTTCTCTTTTACCTGACTGGCCGTAGGATTGACAGAGGATGAGAAAAATGGGGTCTGGTGTGCTGACATTGTCTCATTACATAAAGGATAGAGTGACAGAGTATCTTGTGCTGTCCTCTTTCAGCTTTCGTGGTTATAAAGAGAAGATGTCTTTTAAGGCAGAAGTCATTTGTCTTCAATTAGCAATTTATGGATTATGCGCAGGATTCTATTCATAAATTTGAAGTTTATTGGCCTAACCTTTATGATTAGAAAAGTGTGATTTCAGTTGGTTAAAGAAAAAGATTCAAGAATCTATTTGGTGCCTGTTACATGGAAAGCAGTATTCTAGGTATATTGCCTTTATAAAAGGGGATTCAGTGAACATTGCAAAACAAAGTAGTTATGTGATTTTTGCATTTTACATGGCATCAAATGTTTCCTGAATTGCTTCTCTTTGTAATGTCATTATACATCTTCTGATGGAGTCATTTTCCATGTTTACTCTTCTGGATATTTTTCACCTTGTATATAGCAGTAGTTACAGTGAGAACTTAAATAAAGGAAGCTTATAGCTACAGTTTAGCTTCTTGTTAGAACAAGAAGTCAGGACTCCCCAGTATGTATGTATAAACGAGAATGAACTTCTCTGGCTGTGGTTTTTGTTTTGTTTTGTTTTTATTTTTATCAGAATTACACATGCTCAAAATTTAAAGTATTAAGTTTCAGTAAAGCTTGTTTTGGAAAAAGCAGTCCTCCAACCCCCCTTTCCCATTTCCTGTTCCCCCATGGCAGTCATCTTAAAACATTTGAACGAATTTTTTAGGTTTTTCATCTTCCTGTCTTTAAGCAACATGCTTATATAATTGTAACCCTTGATTTTTCTTTCTTTTTCTTTAGTTTTCTCCATTATTTCCAGGCTTCTCTCTATGGGAGATAAGGATTTAGTTTTCTCTTACCCCTGTTTCCCTGCCACATTCAAGCTCTTTTTTGTCTCCATCCCAAGCTTTCCATTTAGAAGTCATAATTTTGGGCAGATGTATTCACATCATTGTGACTGTGTAAATATGCTTCACAGCTGAGCCATGGTGGGTACTATGATTACTTTTCCTTTCCTATGCAAGTTTTTGCTCTCCTTAGAGTTATTATCTTTTTTGTTTGCATAGTCTGTATAGCTATGAACAGATTATTTTGAAAATAAATCCCAGTATGTAAGTTTCTTCTTAGTATGTTTAAATGCATCAGCTTTTTTTTTTTTTTTTGAGACGAGGTTTTGCTCTTGCTGCCCAGGCTGGAGTACAATGGTGCAATCTCAGCTCACTGCAACCTTTGCGTCATGGGTTCAAGTGATTCTCCTGGCTCAGCCTCCTGAGTAGCTGGGATTACAGGCACCCGCCACCATGCCCGGCTAATTTTTATATTTTTAGTAGAGTTGGTTTCATCATGTTGGCCAAGCTGGTCTTGAACCCCTCACCTAAAGTGATTCATTTGCCTCGGGCTCCCAAAATTTAGGGATTACAGGTGTGAGCCTCTGCGCCTGGCCTGGACTATTCTTTTTATTGTCATCTTGGGGATTCTTTTTAGTGCCTGAGTTGGAAACCCTTCCTTCTTGGACTGTTCCCTTGTTTTAGTGAAGCAAATCTTCTAATAGAAAAAGTGCGTAAGATACATTTTTGAGACCTTGTGTGTCTGCAAACATTGATTCACTGTTCAAACTTTAGTTTGGCAGGGTACAGGAATGTAGGATGAAAATAATTTTCCTAGAATTTTGAAAGCTTTGTTCCGCTATTGTCTTATTACTGTTGAGAAGTGCAGTGGTATTCTGAGTCTCGTACTTTTGTCTGAAACGTGTTCTTTCTCTTTGGAAGCTTTTCTATCCTCTGTTCTTACATTTCATAATCCGTTTGGTTCTGTATCTGTTTTGTCAATCACAGGGGAACTGGAGGGGCCCTTCTTTCCTGGGAACTTGTCCCATCTTATCCTTTAAGGATAAGGGAAAATTAAAAAAATTTTTTGTTTTATCTTCTCACCTCCATTTTCTTCTTTTTTAATGCCTTTGTTTAGATTTTGGACCTTTTAAACTGGTCTCTGATTTTACCTTTTCTCTTCAGTTTTTCGTCTCTTTTTTGCAGAATCTTCTGGGACATTTTTTCAACTTTAGTTTTCAGGTCTCCTACTTAATTTTTAAACTTCTCCTGTCATATTTTTACTTCTGAAGGTCTTTTTGTTCTCAGACTCTTGTTTGTTTGTTTGGTTGATAACAGCTTGTTACTTTATGGGTGTAGTGGCTTAAGCAATGAGATCTTTTTAAGGATTTTTTTTTAAAAGGTTCTTTTCTTTCTGCCATGGTCTGTGTCTGCCAAGTTACTTTTTCCAGTTTGTTTGGCACCTGTTTTTTCAGTAGATACTCTCCTTGAGTGTCTGGTGATTATGACTTTTCAGTGTTCCATTGGAAATTCTGTGTACCTGATGAGTTTTGTTCATTGTGGGCCATGGATATTTTTTGCCTTGTTTACGGTGGGTGATCTGGCTGGCTGTTCTGTTGGGGAATCCCTGATGTTAGTATTTTAGGTCTGATCACATTCCGGAGAGAAAGTATTACATAACCTGCTGTTGTTCTGGGGCTGGGTTGGTGATCTCAACATGTACTATGTACACTTTCATTTAAGCTGCTTTCAGCTGTGGCTTGCATCCATCCTGTAAGTGGCTCTATTTTTTACTCTTTCCTGAAATATTGCAGTTTTCTGCTGGGTTGAGTAGTGGGGAGCCTGGGGTGGGAGAGGGGATCTGACATCTGTTCTAACTGCTTCAAAAACAAGACTTTAAAGGGATATTTCTATTTCTAGGCCTACTTTCACTCATATTTCCAGAGGCATCAGGTGGCAGCAATCCCTAAGACTTTTAAGGGTAATATAGAGAAAACTGGCTTTTTTTTTTTTTTTTTTTCACTGTTGGCCTAGGATTCAACTTTCTTTGGTCTGTTAAAGCAGAACTGCCACTTGTACATCTGTTTTCCAGCTTCTAACACTTCTCCCCTTCTCTTTTTTCTAGTGTTTTATGTCTTTCTCTTTTTTAAAAAAAAATCTCTCAACTATAGTCTTAGTGTGATATTGGCTGGGATTAGAGGCTACATGAAGCCCCATCTTTAACCAGAAATCTCAGGCATGGGGTTATCTCATTGTACTAGATAATATCCAGAGTTGATTTTATTTCTTCGAAGTTTGAGTTCGCTTTTTAAATATTTATTTTGCTTTCCTAGGTGCCGACCTTTACAGTTTCAGCCTTCAAAATCTCACAAGAAGGTTTTGAAAAAAATGTTGAAATTTCTGGCTAAAGGGGAGATTCCCAAAGGAAGTTGTAAGGGTAAGATGGGCTGGGTCTAAAAACTATTTACTGTCCGTGTTTGCAGGGGTCCCACTTTCAGTCATCTTAAGTTAGGTAGGGGAAGGGTAATTAATACGGTCATGTACTACAATGACAGTGGCTACTGTGAGCACCGCTATTACTGTTACCATGGGCCCCCAAATCAAGGTATAGGGAATATGTATCAGAAGAGTTTGGAAAGAATATAGAGGATTATGTGAAAGATGTGATTTCCTGGAGCTTATCAAATGTCAATTTCTAGAATGCTTTGATAATTCATCTTTCTTGATCCTAATACTATCCTTATGAAGTAAATAGAAGGTGGCATTGTCTCTCAAAAAGCAAATGCTTACATGTAGCTTGTGCAAAATTGCACTGTTCTTTTAATGGTGAATAAAGATCAGATTTTCTTTGTTTGAATAAGGCTTTACTTCAGTAAATTATGCTGTCTTCAGTTCTCTTTTTTGATCAATTTTGAGTGGCTTTGCTAAAAGATAATTAATAGCATTCATTTAACTTTGGTTATGGATGATTTGCTTTTTTTCCGTTAGGTTTGTTCACTATTTTTGGTTTTATTTAAGTTTTCTTATTGGCAGTGGCTGACGTGTGAGCATAAAAATTGGGATTGCTGTTCTTAGAGCTCCTCTTCACTGTTGCCATAGGAAATGCCTCATCCTGGGTCCCTCTCATTTTAGCCTTAGCTCATTCATTCATTCCACAAATACTTTTTTCTTTTAATTATTTTTTATTTTTTTAAAAATAGAGACAAGGTCTCTTTATGTTGCCCAGGCTGGTTTCAAACTCCTGGGCTCAAGCAGTCCTCCTGCCTTAGCCTCCCTGACTGCTGGGATTTACAGGCATGAGCCACCACATCTGACCCTACAAATATGTTTTGAATGCCTACAATGCCTCAGTCACTGTTTAAATAAATACTGGCGGTACAGTGACCATCAAGGCAGGTAAGTTCTTTAGCCTCATGCACAGCTCTTAATGGACCAGGATTGAGGACCTTGGAGGAGCTTTGAAGAGCTGGGTCAACAAAGAGGCCAGACATCTTTTAGAGGTTCAAGGGCACTTAGAGGATCAGAAACCTCAGAATTTTGGTGTAGCTCTGATAAATATTGTAGTGCATAATCTTAAAGGTAAAATAGATTTTGTTGACTAGTCAATTTACAAGTATTTTGGTGACCAGGAATCATGTTCTGGACTGGGCATGGTGGCTCACAGCTGTAATCCCAGCACTTTGAGAGGCCAAGTTGGGAGGATCCCTTGAGCCCAGGAGTTAGAGACCAGCCTGGGCAACGTGGCGAAACCCTGTCTCTGCTAAAAATACAAAAATTAGCCAGTCATGGTGGTACATGTAGTCCCAGCTACTTGGAAGGCTGAGGCATGAGAATCAGGGAGGTAAGACTGCAGTGAGTCAATATCATGCCACTGCACTCCAGCCTAGGTGATAGAGCAAGACTCTGTCTGCACAAAAAAAAAAAAAAAAAAAAAATTCACATGGAGCTAAGCGTTGAAGATATTGTCTACTTGTAAATTGGTAGTTGGTGGTTGCTTGTCTTTCCTATGTAGTGTTTACATTTGGTTCTTTATTTGACTTGTTATAGGCTTCTGAATTATCTGTGCCTGGAACTTAATTCTTAGGAGTGATGGACTCATTAGGGTAAAGGAATAAACGGCTATGACAAAGATACCAAAATGCAATAACTAAAAAAAAAGATAAAAGTCTGTTTCTTTCCTCACATAATAGTTCAGTGTGAGTGTTCTAGGTTGGCTACAGCTCTGCTGCCCACCAGTCATTCTGGGACTTTCTTAACGTGATTTCCCAGGTTGCTGTGGTTTTTTACTAATCTAGCCATTGGGGGGAAAGGGTAGAAGTTCAGGGTCACAAGTTTCCTTTAAAACTAGTAAAGCACAGTTGGACATATCAGTTATGTTATGTGCCATTGGCAGGAGCTTGGTCACCTCTGGTAAAGGGTCTGGTAGTATATTCCCCTGCTAGGGTGCCACATTTTTTTTTTTTTTAAATTTTTTGTAGAGATAGTGTCTCACTATGTTGCCCAGGCAGGTCTTAAACTCTTGGCCTCAAGGCCTCAAGCAGTCGTCCTGTGTTGGCCTCCCAAAGAACTGGGATTCCCGGCATGAACCACCATGCCCAGCTGTGCCACGGTGTTAAGTGCAGCTCTCTTATTTTGGAGGATAACAGTGGATTTGGTGGCCAGATAGTAATTCTGCCACAATGGGTAATAGGGACATTCTATTTCTGTATTTATCTTAACCGTGTCAAATGACCCAGCTGATGGATTTTTAATTTCTTCTGATTTGTAGATGAGCCCATGGATTCCACAGTGGATGATGCTGTTGTGGGTGACTTTGCATTGATAAATAAATTGGATATACAGTGTGATCTTAAAACGCTCAGTGATGACCTCAAAGAGAGTTTAGAGAGTGAAGGAAAAAACTCCAAGAAAGAAGAACCTCATGAATTACTTCAGTCACAAGATTTCGTAGGAGAGAAGTTGGCCTCTGGTGAACCATCACATTCAGTTAAAGTTCACACAGTTCCTAAGCCAGGTAATAAAGATTTTTTATATCAAGGCCTATTCACTGCTTTTCTTTTTGCTGAGTCATTTTAAACCCTAGGTCTTTCCATCAGGCAAAAGGGTGACTTATTCAAGCAATCTGTAAAACAGAACCCTGCTTTATTTATTACTGGCTAGAATTAGACAAATCATGCGTTTTATAAACTACTGTGCTTGAAGAGCCTGAAATAATAGCCGTATCCCTAAATACAGACATTTTAAAATGTGGAGCCTTACAGGGTTGAGAATCAAATTTTTGTCGGCGAAAAGTTGTGATAAACATTCTTATTTTAGCATTAAGTGAGACAACATGAATTATAGGTATTATGTCCAAAATACATTATAAAATTCTTCAGTTTATCATTAAATTTTTAAAGGCAATTGTAGTATATTTTAGTTTTAAAATGTCCAGATTTTGATGTTTAACTTTGCATTTTGTCAGGAAATATTTTTTTTCTATGTCAGTACTTATACAAGAATAAGACTTATAAAGTTTATCCAGTATTAAATGGGTTTAATATGTGTATGTATGACTCTCAAAATTATTTCATAAAATGTGAAGTTGGATGGTTATTAGTTTGTTAGATGGCATCAGTTTTTGAATTAGTTCTTATGTTTATGGAAAACGATCCAAGGGAAAGACTTTTAGTACTGTTTTAGTTTTTCTTGTCTAAACTATGTTACACATGTTAAAGTAGAGAAAATTCTCCATTTGCAATTTTATTGAATAGTTTTTTACATGAAGTTTTCATGGTATTTAAATTGATTTTGGTCTGAGATTTCATCCTAATTAATGGTAATAGTTCAATAAAATATTTATTTTTAAATTTGAGGCAGGGTCTTGCTCTGTTGCCCAGGCTGAGGTGAAGTGGTGTGATCATAGCTCACTACAGCCTTTAGCTTCTGGGGCCAGTTTTCTTCTTGCCTTAGGTTCCTGAGTGGGTGGAACTACAGGAACTTGTCACCACACCTAGCTATTCTAAAATTTTTTGTAGAGATGGGGTCTCACTATATTACCCAGGCTGGTCTCCAACTCCTCACCTCAAGTTATCCTCCCACCTTGGCCTCTCAAAGTGTTGAGATTATAGGTGTGAGCTGCTGTGCCCAGCCCCTAGTAAAATATTTTGAATGATTTAGACAGTTTCTTTCAATGATTTCTCTCTTGGAGGTAGGGTCAATTCTTTTATTTATTCTTTTTTAAATAAAATTACTTATGGTTTGTCAATTTTTAAAATCTTTGTTATTCAAACATAGGTGAACATAGATTGAGTAGTATAATGGACTTCCATGTACTCTACCTGTGTTTGAAAAGATTACCGACTCACAATAGCCACTCTTGTGTCATCCAGTTCCCCCTTCCAAAATTATATTGAAGCAAACCCCAGACATTGTGCTATCCTATATTTCAGAATACATCTCTAAAAGATAAGAACTTTAAAAAAACATATTCACAATACCATTATTATATTTGAATAAAATTTCTTAATGCCATTGAATCTTTAGGGTTCAGATTCCATTTTTAAGCATTTGTTTGTGTCAGGATCCAGACAGTGTCCACATATTGTGATTGTTGATACATTTAAAAAAATCTCTTTTGGCCAGGCGTGGTGGCTTACACCTGTAATCTCAGCACTTTGGGAGACCAAGGCAGGTGGATTGCTTGAGCCCAGGAGTTTGAGACCAGCCTGAACAATATGGTGAAATCCGTCTCTACTAGAAATACAAAATATTAGCCAGGCATTGTGGCGCACAGCTGTAGTCCTGGCTACTTGGGAGGCTGAGGTGGGAGGATCGCCTTGGCTTGGGAAGTCGAGGCTGCAGTGCGTTGAGATCGAGCCAGTGCACTCCAGCCTGGGTGATGAGAATGAGACCCTGTCTCAAAAACAAACAAACAAACAGAAAAACCTCTTTTGTTCTGGAGGTTCCCCTTCCATTATTCCTCTATTGGGTTGTTTGTCTTGGTTATTTGTTCCACTTTCTGTGTCGACTGGTTACGTTTGCAGTTTAACATGTTCCTCTGCCTGCTTGTAATTTGATTGTTGGATATAGAGCCTTGATCAGATTCTAGGCTAAATTTTCTTTTTTTTTTTTTTTTTTTTTTTTTTTGTGGTGGGGCAGGGTGGCAAGTCTTAATCAGATTTGAGTTTCAATTATTTGAGGATGGGCAAGACTACTTCATGGGTTTAGAGTGGTCTTTCAGGGGACGTGTAATGTCTGGGTGCCTCTCTTTTTAATACTAATAGTCATGAATATTCCATGCTTAAACTCATTCATTAGAATGAGGCACCATCTTGGCTCACTGCAGCCTCTGCCTTCCTGGTTTAAGTGATTGTCCCACCTCAGCCTCCTGAGTAGCTGGGACTACAGGTGTACACCACCACACCTGGCTAATTTTTGTATTTTTAGTAGAGATAGGGGTTTTGCCATGTTGGTCAGGCTGGTCTTGAATTCCTGGCCTCAAGGGATCCACCTGCCTTGGCCTCCCAAAGTGCTGGGATTGCAGGGATGAGCCACTGTGCCCGGCCATACATTTTACCTTTATCTTTTTTTTTTGACCTTTGTAGTTTCTTTCTTCTACCCTGAGAGAAATGTAGTTCTCAGGAACACTGGGGATGGTAGAATTAGATTAGAATATCACACATTAACCTTTTGCTTTTTCCCATATTACACAGCAGTTTTAGAATGACAACCGTATACTTCCAGCATTATGGTTACTGAAACATTAAAAACTATTTTTGCAGGTTTTTTTTTTTCCCTTAAGATATCTTTTGGCTGGGCATGGTGGCTCATGTCTGTAATCCCAGCACTTTGGGAGGCCGAGGCGGGTGGATCACCAGGCCAGGAGTTCAAGACCAGCCTGGGCAACACAGTGAAACCCTGTCTCTACTAAAATACAAAAAATTAGCTGGGCTTGATGGCAGATGCCTATAATCCCAGCTACTTGGGAGGCTGAGGTGGGAGAATCGCTTGAACCCAGGAGGCAGAGGTTGCAGTGAACTGAGATCGTGCCACCGTACTCCAGCCTGGGCAACAGAGTGAGACTCTGCCTCCAAAAATAAGCAACATATGTTTCAGTAAAAATCTGAGACTGTCTTAAAATCCTTGGATTTTGGCCGAGTGCAGTGACTCACACCTGTAATCCTAGCACTTTGGGAGGCTGAAACGGGCGGATCATAAGGTCAGGAGTTGGAGACCAGCCTGGTCAGTGTGGTGAAACCTCATCTCTACTAAAAATACAAAAATTAGCCAGGTGTGGATGTGCGTGCCTGTCATCTCTGCTCCTCCGGAGGCTGAGGTGGGAGAATCATTTGAACCCAGTGGGGGAGGTTTCAGTGAGCAGAGATTTCACCACTACACTTGGAGGCTGACTCTGAGGCTGGAGTACAGTGGTGACATCTTGGTTCACTGCAACCTCTGCCCCCTGGATTCAAGCAATTCTCCTGCCTCTGTTTGCTTTTGCAGGTTTTTAGGAACCTGCAAAAGCAAAACTGCATTTCCTTTTTAATTTTTTTTTTTGAGACAAGGTCTTACTCTGTCTCCCAGGCTGGAGTGTAGTGACACAATCAGGACTCACTGTAGCCTTGACCTCCTGGGCTCAAGCAATCCTCCCGCCTCAGCTTCCGGAGTAGTTGGGACTATCAGTGCATGTCACCACACCTAGCTAATTTTTTGTATTTTTAGTAGAGACGGGGTTTCACCATGTTGCTCAGGCTGGTCTTGAACTCCTGGATTCAAGTGATCTGCCTGCCTCGGCCTCCCATAGTGTTGGGATTATGGGTGTGAGCTACCATACCTGGCCTAAAAAAGTCGTTTGTGGAGATGAGGTCTTGCTCTGTTTCCCAGGCTGGTTGGGCACTCCTGGGCTTAAGGAGTCCTCTCATCTTGGCCTCCCAAAGTGCTAGGATGATAGACCTGAGCCACCATGGCTAGCCTGCATTTTCATCTTAATCTAAAAAATGTTACAAGTCTATTCCCTTGGACTTAATTAGAAATTATGCAGGGCTAAACTCTATTCAAATCACTTAGGACTAATCTGGAATTCTTGAATGGCTTTGAACCTCTGTGAGTGCAGGGTTGGTATAGCATGCTGATTTTACACTGATGATCTATTTCCATGCTGTCAAAGGAATTTATTGACCTGGGAGGTTCATAAAATATGATATCCCCTAATATGGCGAAATCCTACTTTTTTTTTTTTTTTTTTTCTTTTTTTGAGCTGGCGTCTTTCTCTGTTACCCAGGCTAGAGTGCAGTGGTGTGATCTCAGCTCACTGCAGCCTCTACCTCCTGGGTTCAGGTGATTCTCCTGCCTCAGCTTCCTGAGCAGCTGGCATTACAGGTGTGCACCAACACTCCCGGCTAATTTTTTGTATTTTTAGTAGAGACAGGGTTTCACCATGTTGGCCAGGCTGGTCTCAAACTCCTGACCTCAGGTGATCTGCCCGTCTCTGCCTTCCAAAGTGCTGGGATTAGAGGCGTGAGCTACTGAGCCCTGCCTAAAATTCTACTTTCCACTGTAGTAATGTAGTATATAAATGTAGAGAAAAACAATCATGAGAAGGCTTACGTAGCCTGGTGACTTAATTAGTGCAAAGATGACACAGAAAGACAGTCTTTCATAAAAATACTGAAAATTTGTGTTTCTTAGTTCACATTGGTTTTACATTTGTTTATAATTTTGTAACTTGTAGAGAATGTAATTTTTAGTATAGAAAATGGAAGGTTTTGAAAATTACTGTTTTTGTAATGTTTATATAGGTAAAACATTATTTTAGATGTTAGTAATGCAAATAATAGCTAGTAATAGCTAACCCTAATTGAATGGTGGTTAATTTTTTTGTTTTTGAGATGGAGTTTTACTCCTGTTGCCCAGGGTGGATTGCAATGGCATGATCTTGGCTCACCACAACCTCCGCTTCCTGGGTTCAAGTGATTCTCCTGCCCCAGCCTCCCAAGTAGCTGGGATTACAGGCATACTCCACCACGCCCAGCTAATTTTGTATTTTTAGTAGAGATGAGGTTTCTCCACGTTGGTCACGCTGGTCTTGAACTCCTGACCTCAGGTGATCCGCCCACCTTGGCCTCCCAAAGTGCTGGGATTACAGGCATGAACCACTGTACCTGGCTGAATGGTAGTTAATTTTTTTTATGAGCTGCATGGGTATTAACTCATTTAATCCTCACAGGAACTCTGTAGGTAAGACTGGTTTTTGTCTTCGTTGTACAGACAGAGAAATGTGCCCAAGGTCATCTAGCCAAGTGACAGAGCCTGGTCCGTGACCTCAGGCAGCTTGGTTGGAGTGTGTGTGCTCAGAGCAAATTTGAGAAAAGACAGTTTGTGGTCCAAGAAAAGTAATTCTCTTGGGCAGTAAACAGTCAGTTACAGAAATGGTCTTTTGTTACCTGGTTCAGACTTATGTAACTTAGGCTTATTCAGAGTCTTTTTTTTTTTTTTAAATAAACTTTATTTTTAGTTAGAAAACATGCTAGTGAAGCCGTGACCTAGTCTGAACTATTTGTGAACTCACTGTTTTCTCATCAGATTGGTTTTCGTTTGATCAGTTTATGGTCTCAGGCAAGTCCTTTCACCACTCTAGGTTTTGATTTTCTTCTCTCTAAAAACTGAATTTGCTAGTTTTATAAACCTTTTCACTGACTTTTATATGGTTTGCGAATACCATGTTCTGGGATCTTAAATAGCTTATTGCTTTAGTTAATATCTTCTAGAAATTACTAGTGTAATATTCATTGTTAGAAATTTGGAGAAAAGAGAACACTATAAACAAAGAAAAATCCTTTCTCTGTTTCTGAAATGAGGTAAAATGACTGTTACCATGGTGTCTTCTTTACAGGCTTTTATCTAAGTATTTTTACTTAGTTTAGAATAGTCAAAATTTTAATTTTAAAGGGTTGTCAGTTTTTAATTTCGTCTTTAATTAGAACAAAACTCCAATTAACTATAACTGAACTAATGAGACCTAAATATCTGCAGTATTTGGAGAAGGACACAGATACCTTCAATTAAGCAACGATTCTTTTTTTTTTTTTTGAGACAGAGTCTCCCTCTGTTGCCCAGGCTGGAGTGCAGTGGTGCCATCTGAGCTCACCACAAACTCTGCCTCCCGGGTTCAAGTGATTCTCATGCTTAGCCTCCTGAGTAGCTGGGATTACAGGTGTGTGCTATCACACCTGGTTAATTTTTGTATTTTTAGTAGAAACAGGGTTTCATGGGCGGGTGTGGTGGCTCACGCCTGTAATCCCAGCACTTTGGGAGGCTGGGGTACATGGATCATGAGGTTAGGAATTTGAGACCAGCCTGGCCAACATGGTGAAACCCCGTCTCTACTAAAAATACAAAAAATTAGCTGGGTATGGTGGTGCGCGCCTATAATCCCAGCTACTTGGGAGGCTGAGGCAGCGGAATTGCTTGAACCCAGCAGTTGGAGGTTGCAGTGAGCTGAGATCGTGCCACTGCACTCCAGCCTGGGTGACAGAGCGAGACTCCGTCTCACAAAAAAAAAAAAAAAAGAAAAAAAGAAACAGGATTTTCCCATGTTGGCCAGGCTGGTCTCAAACTCCCAACCTCAGGTGATCTGACTGCTTAGCTTCCCAAGTGCTAGAATTACAGGTGTGCAAGGATTCTTTTCATTTAAAAAATCCTGCCAGAGTTTGTGCTGGGATCAGTATTCCTTTACACTTGGTTCCTAAGTATTTATCTATGTTAGCCGTGCTTTCAGAGAAATGGCCCTCAGAAAGGTTGGGCAGAGATAGCAGTGTCCTTTTAAAGCTGGAGATACTTTGATTTGATTATGTTCATCCTCACAGAGGTGGAGAAGTGGATGGATATGTTTTTTAAAGAAAATATTTTCAGCAGTAAGAGCCTCCTTGGAAAGTTTCTGTGCTATATTTACTTTTCCTTGGCAACTCCCGCTTCTAAGGTAGAATTTTAGATCAACTTACAGCTGTGTGTCCGGATCCTCAGAAACATCTACCCCAAAGCTAGCCTAACCATTGGAATGCTTTGGACTTACTCTGTAGAATCTTTGAGACATGTGAAAAAGCTTTTCCAGAGCCAAGTGTGATTGGTCTAACATTTTAAAATTCTTTTTAGGCAAAGGGGCTGATTTGAGTAAGCCTCCCTGTCGAAAAGCAAAGGAAATCCGGAAAGAAAGGAAAAGGTTAAAACTCATGCAGCAGAACCCAGCTGGAGAACATGAGGGTTTCCAGGCTCAAGGTCAGCCACCATCTTTGTTTCCAGCAAAGGCTAAATCCAACCAGCCCAAAGCACTCGAAGATTTAATTTTTGAATCTTTACCAGAGAATGCATCACACAAGTTAGAGGTACTTTGGAGGACTTTTGTTATTTGTTTTATTATTTTTTGTTTGGGCATCTCATTTATTTTTATTTGAAGTTCTAACCAGTTGATGTTTTTCTAGTTAAATAATGAGAAATTAAAGGGAATTGGGAAGAAGTAATATTTGTGTATACTAAGTTAACTAAGTGAACTGCTATTTGAGAGAAGTAATATTTGTGTATACTAAGTTAACTAAGTTAACTGCTATTTGAGAGAAACTCCCTTATTTTAAAAAGACTTTGAGAATACTTTAAATAGTTGACTACTTAACTTCTGAAAACTCAATTTTAGCATGTTACTTTGATTGAAATTTAGTAAAGTGAAAGAAATACTGCTTAAAATTGTATTTTTAGCAGTTTTGGTTTAGTGAAAGAGAGTAGATTACACAAGGCAAACACTATTTTATCCATTACAATATTCTGAGCTTGATAAAGATAGCAAATATTGTCACATACATAAGCCAGCAGTTAGGAATTCTCTAAATAGGGCTAAATTGTACTGCTGAAATCTTCTCTCATTAATGCCCAAACCAATTTGGGCATATTATGAATACTTTCAGAATCAAATTCCTCCTTTTTTCCAAATTTATTTACATTTCTAGATCAGATCAAGATTTCTCAATATTAGTTTCTCATATATAAAATTCAAAAACAAGGCCTGGGCGTGGTGGCTCACACCTGTAATCCTAACACTTTGGGAGGCTGAAGTGGCTGGATCTCTTGAGGTCCAGAGTTTGAGATCAGCCTGGCCACCACAGTGAAACCCCGTCTCTACTAAAAATACCAAAATTAGCCAGGCGTGGTGGCATACACCTGTAATCCCAACTATTAGGGAGGCTGAGACATGAGAATCACTTGAACCCAGGAGATGGAGGTCGCAGTGAGCCGAGATCATGCCACTGCACTCCAGCCTGGTGACAGAGCAAAACTCTGTCTCAAAAAAATAAAATAAATAAAAAATATTAGCCATAATGATTTTTATCTTATTCTCATACATGATTAGTAGCTGGTCAGCCTTTGAATTTTATAGATTAGTATCATCTAAGAATATCACTTATCACTAAAGTCCTGATAATAGAAATTAACTTTCATGCATTCTAAGCCCAAATTCAATCTATGTTTTATTACACATAGATTTTAGCTTTTGTAAACTGCTTGGCCACTTTGATTGAGATACTGAGTTTTTGTCCTTCCAAAATTCTAAACAGAGTTGAATACACTGCTTAAAATATTTTACATGCAAATCAACAGGAAGAAGGAAAAGAAAAAAAAATTTTATGAGGTGTCTTTTATCTTTTGATCATAAATAGTAATGTATTCTGGGGGCCAAGCACACCTAACAGTTCTCCAGTGGTTACTTTTACTTTTTGAATGTAATGATACTCAGGATGTATGGAAATCTTTCACCACTAGGTGTCACTGTTTCTTCACAGAATTACTTCCCACGCACAGGTCAAGTTTCCAGTTGTTTTCATTGCATTGCATTTGACTGTTCTGTTTTGTTAATACACTTTAAGTGGTTAGTAAATAATGTTAAAATAAATGTTAGCCATTACTGCATGCAATTACTATTTTAAACTTGTCTTTATTTTACATTTGATGAAACTAAGGCGCAGAGGCTATTACACTATAAGATTTGAACAAAGGAAACGTGATTTCACAGTCATACTTGTTAATTATACTATGAAGTAGGAATACTTTATGTGGTCTTTTATACTTAAACAGTAGAGTTTAAGTTTAGAGTTAGCAATGATGAATGAGTGTCCAAAAACTGTATTCATATTTTTAGTCTTTCTGAGAGTTACTGTTGGTGAGCTGTGTATAACTAGAGAGTATTTGTGTGTGTCATATGTGTGTATGAGTGCTAGAAATACTCTGACAGTTTACAGTAGAGGCAGGCTTACATAATCCAGTCATGAAAGCTGAGGCTGAAAATTTCGAGGGGATCCTCCTCTGTCTTAATGAGTCTGTATGCTACAAAAATAACTTTTTGCTTTATTTACTAACTGGTTTTTAATATTAAAATATTATATTTCGGTGCCTTAATAATTGTTGAAACTTGGTTTCTTGGATGGGAGTTACTGTTAATGCATATTCCGCAAAATGAGTAAACGAATGAATTAGTGAACATTGTTTTTTTAACTGCTTCTGAAGGTGAGGGTGGTGAGATCATCTCCACCAAGTTCGCAGTTCAAAGCCACACTTCTGGAGTCTTACCAGGTCTATAAACGTTACCAGATGGTTATTCACAAGAACTCACCTGATACGCCAACTGAGAGCCAGGTCAGCAGACCAAGTATAATTTTCCTATGCAAACAAAGCTTTCCCTTTCACTTAATATCATTTAATGAAATCTTGGTTTATTTGTGCTACATTTTATTTGTGTTCAATTTGCAGCATATCTGCAAAGACGTAAGACTGAATTAATGGACATTCTGAAAGTGCAAATTTGACCGAGTGCCATGTGAAGTGCCAGTCATGTATAATTTCAGAGTGGAAAGTAATATGTAAAGTTATTTAAAGTCACTATTTTGGAGGCATTTATCTAAAAGATAGTAGTAGAGCTCTAAATTAAAATATCTGTGCGGAAAAGGCAGGAAACTTGATATTTTTATGGTAGATATATACTTTGCCTAACAAGATTATAATGCTTTATTTGTATTTGAAAGACTAATGTAGAAAGAATTCATCACAATTAAATTATTCTTTGTTAATCTGTTACCCTTGCATAATTGAGTGGGCCTACAAAAGGAAGTTAGTAGAATGTTTTAATAGAAGAACTCGTATGCTGATAATTTTATAATTTAAATGACCCAAGAAAAATCTGGAAGGGAAAAAAAAGCTTAAAACAGTATAAATAGAGGTGACAAAAGTAGTGATCATGACCACTGTTAGCAACAATATTGACTCTAGTTTATGCAGAAAACTACAATAGGTGGATAGAGGAACAAACAACAACAAATTGTTGGCTCTTGGCTCTTACGAGTTTGACATTTTCCTAAGTTTTAGTACAGCGGTAGCACTTCAGTCTCTGCACCAGTCCACCCAGTCTGAGGTTTCTTTTCATGACAAATTCCAGTTTGAGCTTTGGTGTGGATTTGCGGAGATCTTACTCTAGCCTCACCTTCAGAAGCATATCATCAGTTAGAGATGTTTCAATAGCATTTGCTTGTATTTTCCTTGCTCTGAAGGTGAGGTTAGTACCTGTCTCCTTTGAGGACCCAGAGTTCAAGTCGTCCTTCAGCCAGTCCTTTTCTTTGTATGTCAAGTATCAAGTGGCCATACACCAGGATCCGCCTGATGAGTGTGGGAAGACTGAGGTATTGTTTGTTAACTGTTGTTTTCTGTGTTGATAAGGTTGTCTGGGAAGAAATATAATATATGCCATTTTCTTGTCAGGGGGAGCTGATGACCCTTTCAGTATGTATTACTGAACTTTTGTGAACACTCACATGAGTCATACATGTGAGCATTTTAAATCCTTAGAAAAAAGGATTGCAAATTCAGAATGTATTCTTAGTGTTTTCTTTAGGAACCTGAATGTAGTGGTTTACATGGTCAGTCATCAACCCTAGGTTAACAGTCATTTCCTGAGTACCCATCATGTGCCAGAGTGTGTGCCACAGAACAAAAGGAAAAATCTCTCTCTTCAAGAAACCGATAATCAGTGGGAAAGACAGACAAATAAGCAAAAATATCTTAACAAGCAATGAATCAGAAATACCTACACCTAACCTACCGAACGTCACAGCTTAGCCTCACCTGCCGTAAACGTGCTCAGACACTTATATCAGCCTACAGTTAAGCAGAATTCTCTAACACAAAGCCTATTTTATAACAGAATGTTGAGTATCTCATGTAGTTTATTGAATACTGTACTGAAAGTGAAAAACAGAATGGTTTTGTACCGTTGTAAAGTTGAAAAAGCATAAGTCCAACCATTATAGATTGGGAACCTTCTGTTAGGTATAGTATGATTTCATGGGCGTTTATTGAGGGCCTGTCTTTCCCAGGCTGGGAAAATTGAATTGAATGACATGGCATCATTGTCACCGTAGAACCATTATATATGTTGGAAGAAAGAGGCCAGCAGATGCAGAAGAAGTAGAGTTTTGATTTTTTGACTGCTTTTGTTTTTTTAAGGACATGATGTATAAGCTAAAAAGAGAGAAGTAATACAGAGGACAGAAGTTAATGCTGCCTGTTCCCTGAGAAAGGGCTCACTCCCCAGATCCCCCAAGCCTTCAAGTTAAAGCGTGATCTGCAGACCTGCAGCATCAGCAATTCCTGGAACACAGAATCTCAGTCCTACTGATTCAGAATCTGCATCTTAAACTAGGTTTCCAAAGGATACATATGCATTTCAGTTTTGAGAAGCTGTGTCCTAGGTTCCCAATCGATCCATGCCATTGTGGGTGGTAGCATTTGTGGATAGTGAGGATTCTGCTAGGCCTAAGACGCTTCCTTGGATATTCTCAGGGATCTTATTCCATTCTGAGCTTTTGTCCTTCCTACTGCCCTGGAGATGATGCCTTTGTACCTCTCTGCTTAGCAGGTATGAATAGTTGGGACCAAATGTTCCTGTGGCCCAGTGTGTTTATTCAAGACTTCTCCAGGAGCTTCTCCTGGTAGACTTCAGGCCTCTGGGAAGTCCTTTTATGCAGACTTTGAGCAACACTAAAGGCGTTCATGATCTGAATTGGGGTGGTAGACAGGTATGTAATTGCAGTGCCTTTGGAATTAGCCATTGGATTAGTAGGGAAAGCCAGCTCAGTATGAGACTGGAGGGTAGAGAGGTTTTTCTCAGGGAAGTGACATCTGAGCCAAGTCTGGAAAGATGAGTGGGCGTTTGCCAGGACAAAAAAGGAGAAGGGTGTTCTGGGTAGCCTGACTAGAGTATGCAGAGGTGGAGGGTGAAATTGTATGCCTTTCTGAGGAACTACTATTAATACTTAGTTTAGTATGGCCAGAACATAGGGTACATCTTAGGAGGTAATAGGGGATGAGACTTTTTTTTTCTTTTTTCTTTTTCCTTTGAGACAAAGGCTTGCTCTGTTGCCCAGGCTGGAGTGCAGTGGCATGATCTTGGCTCACTGAAACCTCTGCCTCCTGTGTTTAAGCGATTCTCCTGCCTCATCCCTCTGAGTCTCTGGGATTACAGTTGTGTGCCACCATACCCAGCTAATTTTAGTATTTCTGATAGAGATGGTTTCGCCATGTTGGCCAGGTTGGTCTTGAACTCCTGACCTTAGGTGATCCACCCGCCTCAGCCTCCCAAAGTGCTGGGATTACAGGTGTGAGCCACTGCATCTGGCCAAGGGTTGAGGCTTTGGAGGCTTAGGTAGGAGCCAGATTTTTAAAAAATAATATCTTAGAAATATTTAAACTACCACATACCTATCACCAATCTTCAACTAGCCTCAGCATGCTGCCATTCTTGTTTATCTTTCCATACTTTTTTGTTATTTTGCTGTACTATTTTATACCAAATCTCAGCTATCATATCATTTTTATATGTAAATCCTTCCATATGTATCTTAACTGACTAAGAATGTGGGATGATCAGATAGGTGCCTTCTAATGTAATCTAGTAAGAAGTATAAAGTACCACCTATGGAATGTTTTTGCTGGAGAAATTGAATCCGGATCTATACAAGCTTCTAGATCTACTGACCAGTTCACAGGAAATATGAGGGGTAAAGGAATATGTTAAAATGACACTTGGGCACTTCTATAAGATAAATTACCTAGTTTCTTTAAATAAACTAATAAACATTTAAAAAGGAAACTCTATTCTTAGATTAAAAGTTATTAATGTAGACATTTAAAAATATATAACTATGGTACCATTATTATACCCAGTAAAGTGTCTATCATTTAATGCTTAATACATATTTGATTTTCGTTTTCTATTTTTTTTTTTTTTTTGAGATGGAGTCTTCCTCTATTGCCTAGGCTGGAGTGTAGTGGCACCATCTCAGCTCACTGCAACCTCTGGCTCCCAGGTTCAAGCAGTTCTCCTGTCTTAGCCTCCCAAGTAGCTGGGAATATAGGTGCCCACCACCACACCCAGCTAATTTTTAGTAGAGATGAGGTTTCACCATATTGGTCAGGCTGATTTCAGACACATGACCTCATGTGATCCACCCTCCTTAGCCTCCCAAAATGCTGGCATTATAGGCATGAGCCACCGCGCCTGGCTTTTTTTGGGGGTGTAGGGGAGAGAGTCTTGCTCTGTCACCCAGGCTGGAGTGCATGGCACCATTCTGGCTTACTGCAACTTCGCCTCCGAGGTTCAAGCAATTCTCATGCCTTAGCCACCTGAGTAGCTTGGGACTACAGGCATGTGCCACCATGCCTGACTAATTTTTGTATTTTTAGTAGCAACGGAATTTCCCCACATTGGCCAGGCTGGTCTCAAACTCCTGTAATTCCAAAGTGCTGGGATTGTAGGTGTGAGCCACTGCACCTGGCTGATATACTATGTTTTTCATTTTGTTTTCCACTCATCCACTGATCATTGATGGACATTATGGTGGGTTTTATTTTTGTTTTTGTTTTTCTTTTTTTGAGCTGGAGTTTCGTTCTTGTTACCCAGGCTGGAGTCCAATGGCACAATCTTGGCTCACTGCAACCTCTGCCTCCCGGGTTCAAGTGATTCTCTTGCCTCAGTCTACCGAGAGTAGCGGGGATTACAGGCACCCGCCACCACACCTGGCTAATTTTTTGTATTTTTAGTAGAGATGGGGTTTCATCATTTTCGCCAGTCTGATCTCGAACTCCTGACCTCAGGTGATCCACCTGCCTCGACTTCCCAAAGTGCTAAGATTACAAATGTAAGCCACTACCCCCAGCCTTGGGTGGTTTTTATTGTTTGACTTTTATGGAAAATTCTGTTATGAACATTTCATGTTCAAGTTTTTATGAGGATGTGTATTTTCTTGGGTGTATACCTAGGTGTGTGGAATTACTGGGTCATGTGGTAACTGTTTTCTCCTTTTGAGGAACTGCCAGACTGTTTTTCAGAGAGCGAAATCATTTAACATTCCCGCCAGAAGTGGATGAGGGCTCCACTCTCTCCCTCCATGTGCTCACCAACACTTGTTGTGCCTTTTTTTTCTTAAAGTTGTTTTTATGTTACTCCTAGTGCATGTAAAGTGGTATCTCATTATGGTTTTGATTTGCATTTCCCTTTCTGTGCTTTTTGGCCATTTGCATTTCTTCTTTGGAGAATTGTGTATTCCAACCCTTTGCTCATTTTTTAATTGGGTTGTCTTTATTACTGAGTTGTAGGAGTTCATTATATTCTGGGCACAAGACTCTTATGTATGTGATTACGAACACTCTCCTGTATTCTGTGAATTATCCGTATCTCTAGGAACATTTCCTGGTGAAAATCTATTTTGTCTGCTATCAGTAGAGCCACTCCATGTTGTGATTCCTGTTTGCCTGATCCATCTTTTTCCTCCTTTTACCGTCAGTCTGTTTGTGCCTTTGAATCTAAAGTGTGTCTCTATTAGACACCATATAGTTGACCTGGGGGTTTTTTGTTTGTTTGTTTTTTCTAAGTCCAGGGGGAGAACACTCTCCCTTTTAATTGAAGTGTTAAATCAGTTCACATTTAATGTTGCAATTGAACTAGTTGAATTTACACCTTCCATTTTACTTCATTTCCCTGATATGTCCATGTTTTTTTTTTTTTTTTCTCTTTTCCTCTTTTACTGCTTTCTTTTGCACCAAACAAGTGAATTGTTTAGACAAGGAGTGTGGAAAAGGAAGCGGGGTGGTGGAGAGGGGGAGGGGAAAAGGTCATGATGAGTATGTTCCCACCCTGTGGAGACTTCAAAGGAGATGGTGGAAGCTGCGCCACTGTCTCACTCCGCCACCAGGTGGTGGTGTAGATCGAGAACATTTGTGCTCTTTGACCCTGCGCAAGTTTGTGTTCACAGCCCAAGTATGAAAAAATGCTTTTTTTCTGAGCTTTATTGTAATTTTCATTGAGGCACCGAAAGGATAATTACAAGTAATTCTTTGCTTGTTAAAGGGTTTAAATATTTTCTGGACTTTAATCTCGAGAAATTTCCATCTTCAGTTTTTTTCTCTTAATGGTTTAAATATTTATATATGAAAGTAATAACTTATAGTTAGAAAATTATTCAGCGTGTTAGAGAATTGACATTCTCCAATTATGCAAGGACCAGACAATCATATATAGGCATACACAGTAAGTTCTTACTTAATGTCATTTATGGTTCTTGGAAACTGTGGTCATAGGTGAAATGACATATAAGGAAACCAGTTTTGCCATAGGCTGATTGAT